AATAATGCCCTAGGTCATATGTTATGGCAGACAAATAAACAAATATTTGTCACAAGAATCAGGGACAGTCTATACTAAAAGACTTTCCCTGCAAGAATAGTTATCTAGATTTCTATTTGGACAACACCTATTGCATCAACTGCAGAATCATTGCTACACCTTACTAACAAAAGATATTATGAACAATTTAATTATTTTATATCTATGTTTTGTTTTTGATTTTTTTTTGGGGGGGGGGTGATAAATACTAATATTGACACTATTAGATTAATTTTATCAATTATCTTGGTTTAAGCATTATTAAATTAATTTATAATGAATTATTTATTTTAATGTTAAAAGTTTAACCTTAATGACACAAAATAAACTATATTTGTTTCTTTTGCAGCAACAATATCAGTTGATGGTATGCCTTACCACCTTAGTATGTTTGACACTGCTGGAAAAGTAAGTTATTTTTGTTTGGAATTGAGTTCTTTTACCCGTGTTGAATATTCAACAGTTCGAGACTATGTGAACGCATACATAAATGAAAACATTTAGTTTATTAATTGGAATGAATTTCTTGCCTATATAACAGAAAAGATACTAAAGAAGTTTAATATAGGCAATGCTTCAAACATTATAGTGAGGAGGAGGGGTCAATTTTTTCAACGGTTGTACTCAGAGCCTCTAGATTATCACCATATAAGTTAAACCAAAAAGAACGACCCCGTTATAGTTTAAACGATGGATCATGTGGTCATAAAGATTGAATGATTAGTCATTTTGTTGTCTAATAAGATAGTGCCTATGATTTGATTAAAAAAAAAATCAACTATTTATTTTCTTGCACCAAAGAGAAATAAGCACGAAATTAATTGTTTGTCTCTCGCAGAAATACCAGAGACATATATACACATGTGCATATGTCTCTGGAAATACTAAACTAGAAAGTAGACAAAAGTGAGTTCCCACTCAAAAATGTCCTATCATTTCAACAAAAATCGATATTTTTCCAAAAAATATTACCCAGTAACTTTATGAGCGACTTTTATATGAACTGTTCAAAATTAAACAATAAATATTCAGTAATTATGATAAAGGCTGGGGGAAATGTTCATGTATCGTGAAACAATTACCTTGAGATTACTATAGATCCGTCCGGATTTACTGTTTTGTTATTTAAATCTTGTATAGTGGTAATTCATCATCCACGCCTACATATGCATTAAAGGGAAAGCTATTAACCTGTGAAAAATGTAACAGGATTGTGCTCTTTTATGTAGACTACAGAAAAAAATAGTAACTGGGAAAATTGAAAGATGTCCAATTTTTTCGGATTTTTTTTTTCTCGTACGCTATAGAACATTTAACGTTTTTTCATATTCAGATTCAGATTTGATTTGATTTTTGGTGTTTTAACGCCACTTTTAATATATTCAGATTCAGTATTTTACCACTTGTATAACATAAAACATTTGAATACATGTATAAAACATATAGTATATTAAAACTAACAGTAAACTATCATTAGCTTAAATACTAAAACATATAGAACTATGAGAGACTATTAGATTAATTATTATTTACAATATTTTACATAATTTTAAAACTACATATATAAGATTTGAAATACATCATCAGCTTTATATAAATAAAAAATTTGTTCGTCTACATAAAATATTAAAGCAACTACCTGACAAATTTCATTATGTCTTTATTATTGCATTTATAATAACTTTTTATCTCTCTCCATTTCAGGAAGACTTTGATAAGTTAAGAGTATTATCGTATATCAACAGCGATGTTTTCTTGGTCTGTTTCTCTGTTGCTAATCCCGATTCATTCACGAATGTCCAGGACTGTTGGGTACCAGAACTACGTCATTATATACCAGACACGCCATTTATACTTGTAGGAACACAAGTAGATGTTAGACACGACAAAATGGAGAGAGGGGTAAGTTACTTTTCCATTAAAATGGAAAGTGAGGTTCCGTTTCTCCTCAGAAACTCTCAAGCAAATAAACCTTGTGTTATAGTAGATAATGATTTTTTTAATACAACGAAAAGTGGAAAAATAACAACTGCTATTTCCAAATCGGAAGCACTTTAGAAATATTTCGAAGAAAATGAATACAAAGTAAAAGGTCAAGGATATTTCGTTGTTACGCTCTCTTTTAATACTAGTATCTTTTTAGCCTTTTTTTTTTAAAACTCGATTATTTTGAAAATGAACAACTTTCAAACATTGGCTGTGATAAACATTATGCTTTTCTCTAATTTAGGTTGTAAGGACATCATTTATTTCATCGAAACAAGGAATGGACCTTGCCAATAGGATAGGTGCTGCTAGTTATGTGGAGTGTTCAGCTTTATCAGACGACGGGTTAGAAGCACTAAAGAGCGATATTATCATGGCATCTCAAATGGGAATGGAGTCGAGGTGTTCTAAACAGTCTCAGTGTTGTTCATGTAAAATTATATGAAAGAACTTTGTGCCCTGAAAGCTACCCAAGCTTTCTCAATTATTCTTTCCAATCCATATGGTAGATTGGCAGCGTAATTTGACATTACAACGTTACTGCCTATTGGTGAACTGGTTGTGTTCAGGCGATGAGCTACCGTGACTTATCATATATGAACAGTCCTGTATATAACAATTATTATACATGTATGTGAACAGCGCACCAGTTCTCTATTTGCTACCGTTACTTTATTTGCTCTTTGGTTGACGTTGGTGCTAGAACTATTATGTACAGCAATAATCTTGGCTGCATCAAATGCTTGAGTGGACTTTGTCTGCTTAAAGTCACAAGATTAATAGAACGATTTTGTGGTTTATGTATATTCATTAAGTGACACAGAGTCACTTTGAAAATGTCTCACTGTTATCTTACTCATTGAAATTATGACTGTGATAGGATATTGATATTTAATATTTGTTATTTTTTTTTATATAAAATCAAATTTCATGACTGAAGTTTTGTGGTATTTCATGTCTTAAAAAAATAATTAAATTTGAAAGGTATCTTTCCCTGTCATTGTTGAATCCATCACGGGTTTAAAACTTAGTTATTTACAACTGTTAATTAAAAAACTAACATTTGCCTCTCCTAGTCGGATATTTCAATGAATAAAAAGCAATAGTTTTTATGATTATTTGGTTGATTGTTGTATGCTTATTACTAGTATCAGGACGATTTTTATCACAAGTGCAGTTTTAAATACAATATGCCCGGAATACCTAAAATAAAGACAGTTAGAAAATGATTGATTGTTGTTTGCTTAACGTCTAGTGGAAATATTTCATTCGTGTTCAGGACAAAATGGTTACTTTAGTAGGTGTCTTATGTCTCATAAATGAAATCTATATCAATATACTTTTCCATTTTTCTGAATATTTGATTGAATCGTGAATGCTTTACACCTGCTTTACAACTGCAAATTTGGTAGAATTTTAGTATTTGTATCACCAATACCAGAAATAGTAAAGTAAAATATGAATGAAGATGCTGTAATTCAAATGAAATACTCTAAAGATAGACAAGGTAACAAACAAAAATGCGAGAAAATATGAAAAAAACTATGCTTTAAATTTGATACGTTCCGCCTAAAAAGATACAATTTCCAGACAGATAGTCATACCTTGTGTACTCATTGTGTGTTGTACAAGAAACAAACAGTAACATTGCGACACTTTCCAGGATGACCGGAATCATTAGGGTATTTTTCCATGTATACAGGAAAAGACCAACATCCCTTGTATTAGCTTCAGCAGGAAACGTTTACTTTGCATTAAAATGCACAGTATGATATATGAATTGAACGGTTCAAAAAATATGTAATCTTTCCGAACATTCGATAGTTATAATATTGCTTGTGGAAGAATTGAGTACTGAAAGAACAAGTTAAATTCTGTCGTTTCAGGTCAGGTCAGGAACTTGTTCGCAGATTGTCGTTAGTTTGATACATCTTAATATTTGTTCTCCCTTACTAGTGAATTTGTTGTTGATGACAGCATTTTTTGGTAGACTCGGGCTAATTTTATTCATCGTATGTCTAGACTGACAGTTACGAGTTTGAAATATGGTAGTACAGTTGTCTTATTGTTGAAGGCCGTATGCTGACCAATGGTGTGTTTTGTGTTGGTGGTTTGCTGCCTCATTGATGTATACCTCACATCGACTTTGATTCATACTTGCATATATCGCGTAAAACTGTTGAGAGATTTATCTGAAATTTGAAGAGGAAGTACCTTCAAAACCAAAAGTTTACCGAAAGTTAATCCATGGCAAACGACCATTTAATTTTTTGTTTTAGGGGAGGGTGGGGGGGGGGGGGGCAGGAGGATTTTGAAATTTGAAAATGAATATCATAGCTTGGTAAGAGCTGAACATAAATAACCTGGCATAAGACAGGACGAAAATGAATATTCGGCAACATAAAATGCAGGAAAACAGTTGTGTACACAGATGAAAATGAATGGTCAAGTAAATAAAAAACCTCCATTCCCCCCTCAAATATCAAATTGTACCTTTATATCAAGACTGCCTTCAATGTCCGACAATGTGTTAGGCTAAAAAACGATTAGATGTTGAGGATATCATATATCATTTAGTTTCTATAATATTCAAATTCCACTAGGTTTTATCAAATGGCTAAAACTGATTCTAAGAGTGTAACGTGTACAATGAAAATCGGTTCTCCTTCTTTAAATTTTTGGTGACAAAACATGTGTATGTTGTAGTCGGTCTTATAAACATCTAACACATACGCCCTATAGATTTGGGATTTATATACGTAAATGTAGCTGATCTGTTTGTAACCGCATGTGTGTTTTCCTACTCTAGGCTACAACAATGACATGGTTCTGAAATGTCACACCAAACAGTACTACGAGCAGGATGAAAAGATAATAATAGAAAGCGCATGCTTTATATATACATGTATACATGATCACCCCAAAAAAAGTCACTCAAAGGAAAAAAAATAGTTAAGAAAAACAGGTCATTTGAAAAGTTTCGATTTTTTATTTCACTATCCAAGTTGAGAGTACGTCTTCATAGCCGACCAGTCACATTCACAAGTATCACAACCATTATTATCCACTTTATATCCTACAGGACAGTGACTTTGACCTTCACAGGACAGTACTGTACAATCTGCAACCAGATTCATTCAAAATATTTTATATTTAACTCGCTTACATTTACAATTTAGGGATATGAAAGTTAAATAATCAAATGAAATTAGGTTATATATATTTAGCTTGATATTAAGGCAATATATTGAGCTTTATATTAAGGCAATACCTTTAGCTTGATATTTAGGCAATCTATTTAGCTTGACATTAAGGCAATACATTTAACTTGATATAAAGGCAATATATTTAGCTTGATATTAAGGCAATACATTTAGCTTAAACTTGATCACTGGGAATCAATATTCTTCTTTGATTTAGGTTTTTCAGATTTTTTTTAGGATAAGCCAAATAATCGTCTACAACATCTAATTTTCAGGTTTATTGTTATGTCGTGATGTAAGAATATTTTTTATTAATAAATGAATTTAATGTAACCCTGGTGTTCAGTAATAAGAAAGTAATTTACCAACCACTAGACAGCTCTTGCTGTGCTCTCTAGAAATTGTATTTCTACTCTCTGAAAATTGTGTTTCTGCTCTCTAGAAATTCATTTCTGCTCTATAGGAAGTCTTTTTCTGCTCTCTTAGAAATTCTTTTTCTGCTCTCTAGAAATTCGTATTCTGCTCTCTAGAATTTATATTTCTGCTCTCTAGAAATTCAGTTGCATGTCTCATAGGCAATACCACCACATCTTCTTATTTTTATATACTAGTAGATACGCAAAATGAAGCTACTATATTCGTGGTTATACTTGCTCTAACCGCACAAAAGGAATGCGCATCCTACAGTACTATTTGACGTCTGACCTGATGTCAAACACCAATTGACATATTTCTGTCGTACATCCTTGTTGTAAGAAAAACACTTGTTTACTTGTAACAAAGGGGATTCAAGATAATGCAGATCGGAAGAAAACACCTTCCGGATGCAAGTATATGATAAATAGTTTGTCGATGTACGCACTTAAGCTTGTTTGTTTTATATCTTTACGTGAGGTGACTTTAATCTGAGACATATATGTCCTTGCTTTAATATTTCGATACTATACTCACTAGCTGGAACTTGAAAATTCAATGGTCTGTAGCATTCGTGTCCACACCCATTACTCCGACATTCATACCCCTGGGGACATTTATGTTTACTGAATATACCACAAAATGTTAAACATATGCCCCTTCTATCGGGATAGGCATTACCTACACCTGGAACAAATAACAACAAGTTTCAATTTGATAAGATGCTAACAAATCTGGGCTCGATTATTTATCGTATCGAGATCAATTGATGCTGCATGGTCGTATCCAGGGCGCGAGGGGACTGCCTCCTTATAACCTACATATTTTAGCACATTTTTTTCTATCCGACCTTCAAATTCGGTTTGAATTGGTTCAGTGGTGAATATCTTTGTAACAAAAATGCAAACAATGAGTACGATCATTGTCTTTTAACCGCCTCGGTGGTCTGGTTGTAGCGTGTTCGCCTCGATTGCGCAGGTCTTGTGTTCGAACACAAGCCAGGTGAAACCAAAGAATGTGAAATTACTATTTGATTCTTGAGGCCCCTCATGGGGGTGTCCAAGTGATCACATAATCACATTGTTTTGCCAAAATAATCACATAATCATTAATTATTTTGTTTAAACAAGATAATCAATTAATCATAAATACAGTCCTAGATTATCAAATAATCATGAAATATTTGGTCTGGTAATCAAATTATCACTATATAAACGGCCAAGTAATCACATAATCAAAAACCCCATGAGGAGGCTCATTCTTTTCCGCTAAGTATTCGCGTATATAGAAATAAGAGCAAAGACTTGTCGGCTCGGAGTCAGAATAATGTGTGCGGGTAGGGTGATATGTCTTCCTGTGGACTATTACCTTGTGAACAATCACCTTAAAAATCCGGCTCGGGGTGTCGGTCTAGTACAAATGAGGATTTGTATTTATATCGCACTAAAATGTTCTCGTCCTGAATATGCATTTAATTTTCTACTGGACGTTAAACAGCGATATATCCATCCACAATTGTCATTGTGACCATGTTGTTACAGGTGACCTTAACTCTGTCCAAGACCGACAATTACCTAAAGAAGAAACGGCTGAAATATCGTCTATAAAATAACCTTATTAATATAGTTAGTATACTTTAGCTAAAAGGGGGGATGGATGAGATATCAAAAACCCCGTTTAACAGCACCTAATATTTATGTGCCTTTCCCAAGTCAGGAACCTCTCCGGAAGTTGTCTTTAGTCATATCTTAATGGGGTTTTTTTATTTGCAAATTTGGTTCTGATGGCATCCCATTTAATTGTTAAAAGGTTTTATTTATTTAGAACTTTTTTCGACTCGGAATGGTTGGAAGCTGACAAATAGTATAGACACTTGTTTTTTTTTCTAAATTTATTTGAGACTGCATGCTGATCTTTAGATGATATGTTAATCGAATATTTTTAAGGATTTGTGATTCATTAGAACTTGATCACATGTGCATTTGTATTTACTCAGTTTGCACTCCAATACTGTTGTTTAGCTTTTCGTATGTCAAAAACAGCATATTGCACAGGACATACAGCATGTTACTAAAAATACTTTCTTACCAGGTACCTCTTACTTATTTTGAGGACCACACTAAGATTAGCTTGAGTTAATAGGGTTATCATCTTTAAATAGAAAAAAATAGAAATATTTTGTTTTTTATCCAAGTGGAAATAACTCATATAAACACCCAATTGAACGTATTTGCCTGTCTTACTTTGGTGATATTGTTTTGCTGTTTTTATATTATATGCAAAACATTAAAATTGATGAAAATAATAGCCATTTAAGGTCAATAACTCCTATAAGGAGTAAATTGATGGTTTCAGTAATATTGGTATTTTTATGGATCTACAGTTTTTGAATTCTCTTTAATAAGCCGTTTCCAGCTCTGAAATAGGAAGAGACACTTAACACAATCAGAAATGTGTTACTTTCGAGAAATAACTGCTATAGGAGTCAATAAATGGTTCTAGTCATTTTGATATTTTTACAGATCTTGCCAGTATTGCTAACTACTATAGTCTTCAGAGTAAAAGGCAGTTTAGAGTAAAAGACAAGATCGATAGAATTTGACGGAAATATTAATTTGATAGCATACTTTATGTAAGGATTCGTCTGAAACTATTCGTAAAATGGAGACTATGTAGATGTTGACATTCTGGGCATATTTATCCTGTCAGATTTTCTTTAAGATATAACCTCACTTGAATTTATCCTTTTGTTCGGTCTTTTTCTATGGCAGTTATGTTGGTTGAAGCATGGAAGTAATATTGAACTTCCATGGTTGAAGAGACAAAAAAGCGAACTATATTCGTAACATTCTAAAGATAAATCAAGCCAAGTTTGGTTGAAATATTGGTCTATTGGTTTAAGAAGAGACTTTTTTAAAGGTTACGAAGGACGACGACGGACAAATTTTGATACAATGTTCAGATTCCTCAGAAAACATCTTGCTTTAATTTTTTCTACCTATTTGCTGTATCCCACACTGTTTCCGTTATATAAGGTTATATATGAATGAGTATATAATATCTGGGACTATTATACTAAGAATATACTATGTCCCAAATAATATACACACACTTTTCAACATTCTCTTATCGTAATGCTTCTATCGTAGTCAGCATTGTCTTTAATCTTTGACTTCACTATTTTAAACTATTGGCAAGACAACAGTCTATTGCAAAAAATTAAAATAAACCGAACATTAAGTGCGGCTTCTTATTTCCTCATATTATGTACATTTATAGATAGAAATGACTGGAATATCATTCTAATGGTAGAAAAAGACAACTGGTATTCTACTAAAGGTTTTTTTGGTTTTTTTTGATAGATTGTCAAGCTGGTCGTGACTAGTCTCATACAAACGTTATATGGATCGTAAGTTTCCACGAAATACGGTTTTTATATGAATACGTTCCCCTAAAAGAAAATATGCCAGACTTGCAAAAAAAAAACGAAAGCTGCATGATTAACTTTATAAAAATAACAAAATGTAGTATGAGGAACGAGGAAAACTATCCACAAAGACCAAAGGACAAAGATCAGAACAATGACAACTATGACAAAACGCCACATACTGTATAGTTAGCTATAAGAAGGTACAGGGATGACAAAACTGTTAACCAATTAAAACGAGAAAACCAACGGCCTGGTTTATATTATAACAATGAACGAAAACAAATATGCCAAAGAACAAAAAACAATTTTCACTGGATTACAGGTCCCTGGCTGGGTACAGGGATGACAAAACTGTTAACCAATTAAAACGAGAAAACCAACGACCTGGTTTATATTATAACAATGAACGAAAACAAATATGCCAAAGAACAAAAAACAATTTTCACTGGATTACAGGTCCCTGGCTGGGGACAGGCACATTAAGAATATGGTTGGGTTTAACATATTTGTGGAGCTAGCGCGCTGGCTCAATCCTCCCGATACCTGGGACAGTGGTGTAACAACACAGAAGAACACACAGTAGAAAATAAAAGAAAGACAAACAGGCACAGAGTACCAGGCTCGTTGTTTCCGAAATCGAGTTTATATTGGAATAAAAACTTACCACATAAAAGTGCAATTAATAAAATGAGAAGCGTGAACTTCATGTCTAACTTCTATCGGTCTTATCTTTACTTGACAGAAATTCTAGATCCAGTACGGGTCTTACGATATTAATTTGTTATCTTTAGTTGAAACTGATAAGGTATACTGAGGATCAATTATTTAAAAAAAAATATAAATATAGAATAACCCAGTGAAACCTACAGATTGATACACGTCAACTCATTTTCTACATTTTACATCTAAAGAAATGTTCACAAATTTAAACATTAATCCGTAATAAAAGTCTTTTTATATGTGTTTTTGTGTTTATACGTTGTTGGGTTTCTGTCTCGTTTACCCCATCTCATCTCATGTTTTAATATGTAAAATCTCAACCGCTATACATTCAACCACAAATATTTTTTTTTAAATCCTGAATACTCGTTTTCTTGACTTAATCTAAAACAGTATTTGTATCTCTTTGGTGAATACCTCCAACTCTCATTTTATGAGCTCGCCTTACAAAGGGGAATGAAACTTCATGAAAATGACCGTTTTGCCAACCATTGTCATCTCTCTTTGCAGACATCGAGCTGATATTTGTTACTGATTAGGAATCGCAGATCACAAATGGTGTTCATTTTGTTTGGGGAACTTTTGGCCTTATTCGACTAGAATTTGGAATACGAATACGTAGGCTTATTACAGAACAAATGTTGGCCCCATTTGTTGACCTACTTTTGAGAAAAATATGATCACTAGACATCGAATTATGTTTCGTACATATAGCGTACCACTGCCAAGTTGTCTCCTGAATGAGGTACGTTTGAAAAACATTTTAATTTCCGGACAAGAGAGTGATTAAATGAAGTATAGTTGTGTTAAGTTAGTTTCTACACAATAGTGTTGCGTAAGTGGATTAGAACATGAGGCCGGGAAATAACTATTAAAACAAAATCCTTGATTCCCGGTTCTTAACATGCAGCGCTTGACATGAATGACCTCGTGTAAGTTTTCGTGGTTGCAATGTGAAATAGTTGGTCGATTTGGGCTCATTTGATGATCCCGTCTCCTTCCATGTGATCATGTAGTGTTAACGACCGCACACAATCCTTGGACATTTTATGTTATAACAATACCCGAAAGTCACGGAAATAATAATAGTATAACAAATAGAGTATGAGTCTGGTGAAGAGGAACCTTTGTACTGGAAATCAACAGATGAAGTACAAAAAATATATAACTCTAAGTTTTACAATCAATCGGTTCTTTTAAAATACATAAGCGTTGTAGGTAAATCTATATCATTTTATAAGTATTATAGAAGTAAGGATGTATAGTGTGATTGTCAATATTGAAATGAGACATGTATCCAACAGAACCCAAAGGGTAGAGGATATACGAGGACGTAAACAACTATAGGTCACCGTATTGCCTTCAACAATGTGCAAAACCCATATCAAATAGTAGGAAGCTATAACAGGCTCAGGCATGGCAAAATGTGGCACAATTCAAAACAGAAAATCCGATTTACTGTTTTAATATCTGGTGTGTTCGCACTTGCTTTACGGTTATTTAGATTATTCCGTCAGTATGCATTACAATACAATTACAGTTTTGTCAATATATATCAACAATGCATAACAAAGTTGAAATATTCACCACTATAACCGACATAAAACGAAAAAAGCTTAAGGACAATGTTAAGTTCTCTGTATAGGTGAGTATGATGTGTTGCAGCATGAAGCAGAGGAAGCAACCGTTTGGTTGAGTTTATTGTTTAGCAGGAGCAGACACTGGGAGAAGATGCCTTTAAGAGTCATACAAATATGATTATCTTCTAGTCTAAACTATCAAAGTTCAAGTTATAAAATGTTTCATTCGGTTGGTTTCTTAGCTGGAAGAGACACCACAGAAGATGGCACTTAAGAATCGTGTAATTATATTTATACATGTAACGTTTAATCCACTAAAACGGTATGGGTTATGCTCATTGTTAAAGGCCATATATATGGTGACATATAATTGTTTAAATTCACGCTATTTGAACTGTTCTGTAAATATAGTTGTCTCATTGGCAAACATACCACCTCTACTTTCTTCTTGCCGGCTATGTAATAAAGTAGAAATTTTACATTCTTTTATGAAACTAGATTAGCCCTTCCCCCTTTCCCCTCATCTGGGACATAATATATTGACTAGTATACTCTTTACAGCCCATAAATAAAGTAGTTTTAGCTCACCTGGCCCAATGGGCCAAGTGCGCTTTTCTCATCACTTGGCGTCCGTCGTCCGTCGTTAACTTTTACAAAAATCTTCTCTTCTGAAACTACTGGGCCACATTTAACCAAACTTGGCCACAATCATCATTGGGGTATCTAGTTTAAAAAATGTGTCCGATAACCCGCCAACCAAGATGGCCGCCATGGTTAAACATAGAACATAGGGGTAAAATGTAGATTTTGGCTTATATCTCTAAAACCAAATCATTTAGAACAAATCTGACAGGGGTAAAATTGTTCACCAGGTCAAGATCTATCTGCCCTGAAATTTTTAGACAAATCAGACAACCCGTTGTTGGCTTGCTGCCCCTGAATCGGTAATTTTAAGAAAATTTTGCAGTTTTTGGTTATTATAATATTAGATAGTGATAAACTGAAAACAGCAACAATGTACAGCAAAATAAGATCTACTAAAAGGTCAACATGACAAAAATGGTCAATTGACCCCTTAAGGAGTAATTGCCCTTTGTAGTCAATTTTTAACAATTTTTCGTAATTTTTTGTAGTCTTTTACAAAAATCTTCTCCTCTGAAACTACTCAGACAAATTTAACCAAACTTGGCCGCAATCATCAATAGGGTATCTTGTTTTAAAAATGTGTCCGATGACCCTGCCTACCAACCAACATGGCCGACACGGCTAAAAATAGAACACAGTGGTAAAATGCAGATTTTGGCTTATATCTCTGAAACTAAAGCATTTAGAGCAAATCTGACACGCGGTAAAAATGTTCATCACTCAGGTTAAGATCTATCTGCCCTGAAATTTTCAGACAAATCAGAGAACCCGTAGTTAGGTTGCTGCCCCTGAATCGGTAATTTTAAGGAAATTTTTCAGTTTTTGGTTATTATCTTGAATATTATTATAGATAGAGATAAACTGTAAACAGCAATAATGTTGAGCAAAGTAAGATCTACAAATAAGTCAAATGAACAAAATGGTCAATTGATCCCTTAAGGAGTTATTGCCCTTTATAATAAATTTTTAACAATTTTTTGCAAATTTTTATAATCTTTTACAAAAACCTTCTCCTCTGAAACTACTGACACAAATTTAACCAAACTTGGCCACAATCATCATTAGGGTATATAGTTTTAAAAAATGTGTCCGATGACCCCGCCTTCTAACCAACATGGCCGATATGGCTAAAAATAGAACATTGGTGTAAAATGCAAGTTTTGTCTATTATTTTTTGAACAATTATAAATAGAGAAAATCTGAAAGGAGCAAAAATGTTCAGAATAATGAGCTCTACCGATTGTCCATACACGTCAAAACTGTTAGAAAAATTCTTATAGGAGTTATTGCCCATAAATGAAAAATTTTACCATTTTTTTCATTTTTGCCTATTATCATGAAACTATGATATTTAGAGAGAAACATTTTTTTCAGTTATGCCTTATATATGATTTAAATTATAATAGATAAATAGACACTTTAAATCACAAAAATGAGCAGCAAGGCAAGATCTATTTAAAAGTCAAATTTTGCCGATATAGTTAGTAGACTGTCACTCTTCATAGGAGTGATTGCCCTTAAATGAGGATTTTTTTACCCTCTTTTGTGTTTTGAGCAAAAACTAAAGAAGATATAGAGAGAAACTAAACAGACTAAAAAATCAGTAATACAAGATAAACAAAATAGTGATTTTTGTCATGAAGTCTATTCTCGTCTACAATGTTGTCCAGATAGTGTCCTTTGTTTGATATGCATATATACCAAGGTGAGCGACACAGGCTCTTTAGAGCCTCTTGTTTATATACAAAATATGTATATGATAAATGATTGTATTATGTGTACGGTCATTAAGGCTTCCATGAAATAGAAAGAAAAAATAGGGTCAACTAATGTATTGCTAACAAAATAGTTCTGAAACAAATTGAGCTCCCCTTGCATGTTGTAAAGCATTTTTAATCAATCATACAGTTTTCTGAATTTGTAAAATAGCTTTACTGCCGTTTAAGATAAAAACACGTGCATCTATTCATATATTAATGAAAAGGGATCAAGTATTAATTAAATGACATTCTGATTAACATTTGCAAACAATACCTTTTAGCAGAGACATATAATACAATTGTATTATATGTCTCTGCTTTTAGTAAATATAGACCAAGGGAGATAAACTTATCAGCCGTTTTGGTCTATACCGTAATTTGGGTAATTAGTTATGAAGAAAGAGGAAATGACGTATTATTGTGGCGGGACGTCTGATTTTGGATTTGTAAACATAGGGTGGAAAACTTTGACAAATGACTTGATAGGTTAACCAAAACACAGAGAATTAAAACTGCGAGCTCTTATTAAAGATTACTCTTGAATTTAAAGATTAGTTAGACAAGCCGAAACGTGTTGCATTTAGTGTAAGTTTTCTGTGCATATCAATTTTATCAGTTACATGTATCACGATATAATCAGTTATTAATCTTCAGATTGGGTAGACACAACACACAAATTTTGGGCATACATTTGTAGTTCCCAAAATGGCAAATGGGTAACCATCTCTCAGTTATGGAAAAAGAAAGAATAGCAAGAATTATCAAAATATTGGTCAGTACAACACATATAAGGTACAACAAACCACATCACTGACACTGTCATCAACCCCAACATTTAATAGCTCCTCGAGAAATACAAACATTGAAACAAGAACAAACAGCACATGGTCATGTAAGAGTTAAACAAGTAATATGAACACACCATGATGAAAATATCATCTAGTGCAGGCAGAGATTGAGATGGGGCGTATCCAGCATGTCCCCCACCCCCAAAAAATGTAATAAAGATTAAATTACCATACCAAAATATATCAGTTCTATTCAGGACCGATAACTCCGTCGATAAATAATGGCTGGTATACAATGTTGAAATGTATGCAATGACATATTTTTGTACACAAGTTAATATTTCAATATTGATTTTTTTTTAATGCCTGGATTTTGCTTAAAACATTGAATTAAAAGAATAAATGACAAAAATCAGATGCAATGAAGTCTCGTTTAATTTTCTATCAAGTACATAGTCGTCAAACTCCTTGTTTTCTATGCAAGAAAAAAATAAAATTATTCAATATAAAATTTGAATTAGAGTATTTTTTTTTAAACAATTATTGTGCAACATAAAAAATATTAAAATCAACTTATCAAAGAATTTTTCATAATGTTCACATTTTCTTAAAGTCCTCTATGATATACATTTCTTCGATAGAGTACATGGGAAAGAGAATTATATATTTGTACATTTTAGAAAACTTGTGTACAGTGCTCTCGCCAGGGCCTTTTAGCATCATAGTAATGTGATGCTATATTGCTAGAATCTGATGCTATCTGAAATTATTTTCTTATAAATAGTGTTATGGATGTGATGGTATAATTTCTAGAAACAAGATGGTATTTCATAATTTCCTGTTTATCAAGATGATATAAGAAATTTCTGAGGAGAACACTTTGTGTATATCACTAAAACTAAACTCTAGAAATACATGTGTACACAGGATGTCAGTGTTCTCCCCCGGCCGATGGGGACCGCGCCTTCCAAATATTTTTGTTGTCCCTGCAGCACTAACATTGGCAAGCAGTGCCTTAAAAGGTAATCCTGCAGCGTGTTAATTTTCATATTTAATTATAAACTGTTGATAGCTTTTGTAAAGTTTAAGATCGCCGCTGAGCAGCTGAGAAGATAATCAATATTAAACCAAATTACGCAATTATTGATCGACCCCAGTCGATCCTTTGCCTGTATTTGCCTTATCAGATCACATAATTGCATAGATTAATATCATCGAATAGATAATTATTTTTCTTGGATACTTTTTTCAGTGTTTCAGGGTTGGAATTACGGGAAAAGATCGAAAAACAAATATGAAACGTTTTTACGCATGGCTTTCCTGATTTAAATATTGAATTTTCTCATCGGTCAATAATGAAATCTATTTTAATACATCCAATGAACATGATGAAAACACTTGGTAGCTTTGCAATACACAACTACAAATATTTATGATTGGAAGTCGTTTTACGTAAAAAAAACTTCAACGTAAACTAATATTTATGATAAATTAAAAATGTGAATCAATAGTTACATGTAGGGTCAGAATGAGACATTTTGTGCATACAAAATAAAATTTGTCTTTAATTATGTTCAAAAAAATAAATAAGTTATGTCAGTTTTTGGTCCTTGCACCGGAAAACTATGACAATTAACAACTCGATGTCAATAGTTGGGAATGGAAACTTAGAAGCATATGCATAATGTCACTAGTAAATATTTTGTTGGACTTAACTTTGAAAAATTTGTCAGGTTTCCACTTGCCAAAGAAAAGAATGTGCCAAATACACATGGAAACGATCTCGAAATGTCAAACACCTGTTTTTCAATTCTTTTGTTTAAAAAAAGTTGTATTCCAAAAAGCACAAACTGCTTAATAATTAGATAATACAATATCTTTAGAAGGAGCTGATGCACCAGACATGGAAATATCTAATGCTATTCAGCACTGGAAGGCTCAAAGAACAGGAGAATATTCTCTTAAAATTACTAAGTTTGGACTCCTTGAATTAAATTTTCACTCTTATGAATGGACTGTGATGAGTGTAAATTGATTATATTTTATTTCATAATAATTTATAGATTGTATACATAATTAAACTCCTAGCCTGTCGTTAATTTACAGATAGTATACATAATTAAACTCCTAGCCTGTCGTAAAGCTTTTAAATTCATATTGTATTTCTGAAGGATTGTTTCGCGTCACAATAGGTTCAAAAATTTCTGAGGAGAACACTGGATGTTGATGTCACCTGATGGCTTTTGGTTTGACACAATTCCTTTACATTACCTGACAATTTCGTATATTGGTCATAGAAACTTTAAAGGGGCATTAATTAACTTTAATAGGTACAGAGCATTTATCTATTGTTTTTTTCTCTCAAGACGAAAAGGTTTTTTTTCTAAAAAGAATACATTATTTTTCTATATATATAAATTATACAGAAAAAAGGGAAAAAATCTTTAAAAAAAATTCTTAAAAAATTTCAGTGGCAACTATTTTTTTTTACTTCACACTTGAAATAATTTATTTTTTATCAAGAAAATTAGAAATCAAACATACCAGAATATCAACGAAGAAAATAACAGAAACAGCACAAATTTTGTATCAAAAATACGAGACGTTAAAAATTTAAGAATACATGCGACACTTCCAAACCCATCCTCCATTTTGAAAAATCCAGAAAAAAATAACTTTTTAAAAAATCGATGTGGGACGTAATTTGCCCTCGTTTTAAACTGTTTTAAGTAGAATATTTTGCCAGATATATGTTTTAATAAATTATACAGAAAAAAGGGAAAAAATCTTTAAAAAAAAATTCTTAAAAAATTTCAGTGGCAACTATTTTTTTTTACTTCACACTTGAAATAATTTATTTTTTATCAAGAAAATTAGAAATCAAACATACCAGAATATCAACGAAGAAAATAACAGAATACATGCGACACTTCCAAACCCATCCTCCATTTTGAAAAATCCAGAAAAAAATAACTTTTTAAAAAATCGATGTGGGACGTAATTTGCCCTCGTTTTAAACTGTTTTAAGTAGAATATTTTGCCAGATATATGTTTTAATAAATTATACAGAAAAAAGGGAAAAAATCTTTAAAAAAAAATTCTTAAAAAATTTTAGTGGCAACTATTTTTTTTTACTTCACACTTGAAATAATTTATTTTTTATCAAGAAAATTAGAAATCAAACATACCAGAATATCAACGAAGAAAATAACAGAAACAGCACAAATTTTGTATCAAAAATACGAGACGTTAAAAATTTAAGAATACATGCGACACTTCCAAACCCATCCTCCATTTTGAAAAATCCAGAAAAAAATAACTTTTTAAAAAATCGATGTGGGACGTAATTTGCCCTCGTTTTAAACTGTTTTAAGTAGAATATTTTGCCAGATATATGTTTTAATATTCTCAAAGTATAACTTTTATATACCGAATTTGTGATTTTGATGTACAAGTTGACATTGGGTCGTAAGATTTATCATTGAGTCAACAGGGAAATGACGAGAAAAAGCATAATTTTTACGAATCTCCAGGGACGTAATTTAATAAAAACTTAAACTGTCAGAACCAACATTTTTAGGTAGAATTAATATGTTCGAATACCAAGGATATAGTTGCAAAAGTTAGAAAACGGGTCAGATTAATGAGAAAATCGAACTTTATTGAAGAACCTATGCATTTTATATGGGACAAAATGACACAAAATGGCGGCTTGCTACGTCGCCAAAGTCATGTGATGTCTTATTTAGTTTAATATGAGCCTATTTTGGAGTACAACAATTTCCTGCGATATCCCCAAAACTCAATGTAGACCCGAGACCAGAGAGATATTACCAGAGATATGGTGTAATACTGCTTTTATTGATCAGTCAAGGGTTTAACTTACATGTAGATAGGTTATTAGAGAAAAATAACATACATTTGTTATTGTAGACTAAAAAATCCAAAAACTGGGGTTACATGTTTCAAAGGGGCAGTATACATCCTTTGTTTTGTTAAAATGTATACAAGTTCTATTGATATTATGATTGTCTATATGCATACTAAACATTGACTTACCATGTTTGATCAAAATGATTTGATTTAATTGGAAAATGAGTTATCCAGTCTATTTATTAAGTTTCTGTGCAAACTTTCAAGAATTCCCAGGTTCCCAATTAAAAGTAAAATATCAAAGATTTGTTTTAACAAATATAAACAAACATATGTTACTATAGATTAAGAACATTTTAGAAATAAAGAGTAGACAACTCATGAAAATATCCGTAATAACACATGGATGTTATTTTCTCAGAATGACTTAAATTATACCCTTGACTGTTGATAATTAAGACTATAAATGAGATTTTTGTCATCTTGACTTAATAAAAGTACAATTTAATCTCAGGAATTTGATTTGTGTGTCTTGTCTTGTATGCAAGTTCCTTGTATAATAATTATCGACATTATTATCTATCTAAGCAGTATTACTCCTGGTTTACTCAAAGGTTTATATCATCAAGATCTTAGAAGATCCCATAATTAGCAAAGAGCAACGAAAATTGTATTGTAAGCAATCTACATGTAATGCCCACATGCCTTCAAAATGTTGAAAAATTAAAAGAATTCCAAAAAATATATTACCTTAATTTGAGAGTCATTGCCCTTAGACAGATAAAATATGTGCATCAGCAGGGTACTACATGGGAACTTTGTTCTTTTGTTATATCAATTTTATTCATTATTATATACTAGAATGGGTTCTTTTGAATTTATAATCAGTAAAGTCTTTGTGATGAACATTAAAGGATTCCTTTATCCATGTTTGTAAGGTAACGGTAGACGTTTTTGGCCACTAGATTTTCAACTGTTTATTATGATGAGGCTTTGTTTATATTTTTTTTCTTTGTTTAGGAAAATTGACTTATAATTCAATTAAAATTCAATATTGCTATATTATTTCTGCTCATTACTAAACAAAAGATTACATGTATATACATATGTAATATCTTTGTCTTTTGAACAGGATTTTTTAATCAGTCTATACCTTCAAAATGGCAATGCAACAATCTCGTCAACAAGCTTCAGCGCAAGCAGAAGAAACTGAAGAAACATTTGGACCATTACCTTTAAAGCAATTAGAGGTTTGTAGCTTTTTGTAAAATAATCATATTTGTGAAGGTTAAAATTTGGGCAAGTAAGGCAACACATTTTAACCTATGCAGTGTACAAGTACCCTGATTACAGATTTTTTTTTTATACAGAACTTAAAAAAATAAGAACAACATCTGCCACATTCAAAATTTATACTTTTTGTATTATTGCTTTAAAGTTTCTGATGATAGTACATAATTCAACATTCTACGAAAAATATTAAGAATTAATTGTATATGCATGCTGTGAATATAAAATTTTTAGTTCGAGTATTTTTGAATTATTAATCTCAAACCCAGGTCTTGCAGTTTTTGCAGACTGTCTTTCTGTCTTAAACACATTAATTTTATAATTGAATGGATATTTTGTAATTTTTAAGCTATTGAAAGCAGTGACTTGGCAGAATTTTACTCAAGAAGTGCATCTGTGCTTTATGTATATATGACTTTTTTATGAGTTGTATGACACTTTTGTAATGACTTTATACTAATATGAATTTCTGTAATTAATTTCATGGTTTACCTATTTTCATGCATGTCTCATATCTACATATGATGAATACATTTAAAATGAAACCAAGGATTCAACTACCAATTGATACAATTTTAGCCCACCTGACTGCCCTAAAACAACCAGTGTGAGTCATTGCCATCACTTTTGCAAATTGTACAATAAATGTAACGTGTATGGATGCATCTATTTACAGATGTTTTTCTTTATTCATCCATGAAATTTCAATGAACAGACATCAAGTAAAAAGTAATACCAATCTATTGATTCAATATGTAACCTCAGTTTGGATGTGTATATATATTTGTATTTTATAAACAGGCAAATGGTATTGGTGCATCAGATATAAAGAAACTAGAAGAAGCTGGTTACTTCACAGTAGAGGCTGTGGCATATGCACCAAAAAAGAGTCTCTTAGCTATCAAAGGAATCAGTGAAGCAAAAGCTGATAAGATATTGGTGGGTTTTTACTAGATTAAATATTTGAAGAGAGTTATTGTTTGGTCTCTGAAATTGCAACACAACATCAATCCTTACAAATTATGTTAAATTTATGGAAACATTTTGTTGATAAAAAACATAATATAGTCTAGTCATTTTGGGGCAAAATTGTGTTCAGTCCAAAAGAGCTCAGCCATCCATCATGTTTTATTATTCCTTTATTTGAAGTCAGTTTTGTTTTTGACTATGGTTATTAGATAGCAAGCTTAAGAAGTCAGGAGCCTGTAATTCAGTGGATTTGTCATTTCGGGGCCTTTTATAGCCTATCGTGCAGTAAGGGTTTTTCTCATTGTTGAAGCCGTACACTGTACAGTGAACTTTAGTTGTTAACTTCTATGTCATGTAGTCTCTAGTGGAAAGTTGTCTCATTGGAAATCATACCACATCTTCTTATTTTTATATTAAGAAAACAACTATGCTTGTTTGTGTTGAATCAGGAAGTGATACCTTTTGACCTGGAGAAAATTCAAAACATAAAGTATTCAATTAATTTTAAAAAGTAATTAAATATTATGTAGATTTTTCTAATGCTTTGTCTATATTATACTGTAAGATAAGAATATGACACTATCACTAGCAGTGAGTTATAATTGAATTTTTTATAAGAAAATATATTTATCAAAATGAAAATAAACCTTTTGTTCTGAAGTCTAGCTGAATCACTGAGACTGAGACTGGGTGATTCAGTTTCATAAAAATTATCAATCCCTTTAGTACAGGTCTTAAAAAACATTGTGGAAATGCACACATAGTATGGTAAAATTGATACTATTATGTGTTAGTTTTACCACTTTTTAAAATGAACTTAATACACATAGTTCTGAAGTTTCTTCAAGTTAAAAGGTATTGATCACCAGTGTTCTCCCCAGGCCGATATGACGCTGCGGTCCCGCAGCGCCTTCAAAATATTTTCGTTGATCCCGCAGCGCCTTAATTGGCGGCTGTCCCTTAATACCTGATCCCGCAGCGTGTTAATTTTCACATTTTAATTATGAATGTTGGTTAAAATTGTCAAGTTGCTGATTACCGCTGAGAGGTCGGTCAATGTTGCGCAATAACTGATAGCTAGCAAAAGACTCTGATTTACCTGTTCCAGCCTTTTCAGACCATGTAATCAGGTTACAGCGTAAATGATCATGAAGAAGATAGATGTTTTTAGTTGAAAATAAAAGTTTTTAAAAACTTCAGCGCAAAAATTGAAGAAATAGATCGCAAATACATTGTATTTACGCATCGTCTGTCTGCGATACTTGGCCATTTAAGTAACAAATTTTTTCATTGGTCGAGAAGAAGAATCTATTTAAACACGACCAATGAACATGATGAATACACGTGATAAATTTGAATACACATTACTAAAGAAATTTACGATGAAATTTATGATTGAGAGTATTTGTACATCAAAAAAGTAAAATAAACTTTTATTAAAGATAACGAGGAGTGGTTTATTTTATTAGAAAATGAAAAATTGTTGCTTGCAAGCAAAATTCGTCTGTCAACTGTCACGTTTCAGAAATGAAATATTTTTTAAACATCGATCGTAAATTCGTCCATCGGGAAAATATATATACCGAATCGCTGCAGCATTTGTATAATGCCACTAGTAAAGAATTTCACTGGTTTTAACAAATTTGTCAAGTTTCGTTTATATCTACCTGCCAAAAAAACGTTTTGACAATTATACACACGGAAGCGTAATGTCAAACTACGGACACTGGTCAGCTGGTTCATTACAATTTTTTGGTTTTAAAAAGTTGTATACCAAACATCTTAAACATAATCAATTTTAATGCTGAATCAACATGATCTTTGCAAAGAAGAAATGGGTTAAGTGAAAGGCAGATGATGTTTTCAACCCTAAAGAGGATAAAGACTGAGGAACAGGCTGTCCAACAAAATTACAAACTGTCTTGTTACTATATCTAGAAGGAACAGAGAGTAAAGAAATAAATATTTCTGAAGCTGTTCAGCATTGGAAGGCCCAGAAGAACATGAGGATTTTTCTTGAACTATATATACATTTTGACTTATTTAATTGACTGTGATATAAATGCTTTTTGTGTTTAAAATGAATTTATTTCATATATATATTTTTATTCTTTATCATGTATATTAATACTGTGCATGATTGCATGTAATGATTTATGACCGATTGCTTCAGGTCATAATAGTTCACTCTAAAATAGAGTTACGCGCCCTTGAAATTTCGGTATCTTAGAGGTTAACAAGGGGTGTGGAAATGCTATGGGTGACTTGCTGACTCGTACATTTGACCGACTGGGCACTCAATTTTTTGCGTCTTTGTTGCCCGTGTACAAGTAAAAAAAAGTTGCTTGACAATGTTGATTTATATACTCATATAGAAAAGTCCTCAACATTTATTCATCAAAGTAGAAAAAATATCAAATAACAAGACGTAAGCTACATGTGTTTAAGTAAAACAACATCAGTGATCAAGAAAAGGAAAGATCTATTATCAAACAACAAAAAATGAATATGCAGACTCGGGTTCCTTTAATATTCTGCAATTTTTTTTCCCCTTGATATCATACGGGATCGTCAATCCAGTTACAGCACCGATACACCGGAAATGGTCATTATTAATTTCGAGCTCTGATTTCTCAAGAATGAAAACTAAATGACCAGTCAATTTGGATAAGCATCTTTAGATAGGTCATCTCTCTGAAGTTGACCAACGGGGAAGAGGCACCTCATAAAAAATAAAATTGTTTAGCCAAGAACTTGGTTTTGACAAAAAACGGAAATCAGAAGCAGCAAAGGATTATGAAATATTATGAAAATAAACGGAACAGAGGATTTTAAAGTTCTTTAATGTTTTGCTTTCTCTTAGTTATAAAAAAAAATCTCAAATTCAATAATTTATCAATTATTTGGTTTCATCTCTTCATTAACTTTGAAAACTTTGCACAGGCTCACATTGAAGAAAATGTAAGTTATGATATAATCTCCAAGATTCATGTAAGCTAGCAGCGAAAAGCATTGCAAAATTGGCCTCTAGATTTTTTACTTTAAAGTTGTTTTTTGGTTGGTTTCCATCTCATTGATGTATACTCTTCATATCTTTTTATCATTCTAACATACAAACAAAGACCATGAATACCATTTTCATTGTGTTTCAAAACGGTTTTAGAAATATACACGTTTGTAACCAGTAAAATACATCTTCATTCCAAAATTCATTAAGAAATCAGGGCAAGTAACTTTTCTTCCGGACAAGTAAAATTTACAATTTCACTTGCACGTGGTCACAACAACAAAAATGATTCCAAACCCCCGTTAACTATAATTTTCAAATTCCTTCAGGACAAATAGAAAGAATAGTGAGCAAATTCCTATTATTGGTTTCCAGCTGTATTAATGAGTCTACCAAATGCATTAACTTTATTTTGTTCTGATTATGTTATATGAATATTTTCTATTGGCTATAATACAAATCACAAAATAACAGTTACAACTGATGGAAATGAACTTTTTTCAGGCAGAGGCTGCTAAACTGGTACCTATGGGTTTTACAACAGCAACAGAATTTCATCAGAAAAGATCAGAAATTATTCAAATCACAACTGGTTCTAAAGAATTGGATAAACTATTGCAAGGTAAATTAACAATTATAATATCATACAAGTTTTTGCATTGATATAACTCCAGCTTACTCTGAGAAAAAGGTGACTTTTTATCTGTATTTGTTATATATAATCATTTTACCGATTCTGACAGGAGTCACACTTTTTTCAGTTCTAGTCAATTCCTAGGTTAAAAGGTTTATGCCAGCTATATTCGGTCTGTAGAGTAATACGTGTCAGCTCACACCACTTCTGAACCATGAAGAGAAGAGACTCCATTCTCTTTCTGAAGGTGACTGGCAGAAATGGTAAGGATCTATAGAGAAGTGCTTGTTCACTCTTGATGCTTCCTAGGTCAAATTATGGTTTTCTTGATAAACACGGTATACCTTTTAGGCTTTATCTCAAAAACTAGCAAACTCAGTTAAGATATAAAATTAATTAAGTAGGGGAAACATTTCAGCCTATGCACTCTTGTTTTTGGTTGAAATTCATATTTTTCTGGCTTTTATGTGAATAAGTTGAGAATTATATTTTATACCTTTTTCATCCTAAAAATGATAAAACTATATGATAATTTCAAAGTAGCTGAAACCAAATCAAGAATGGATTGTACAATGTATAAAGTGCTAAAAATTTACAAATGTTACAGGAAAAAAGTTATTTTCTTTTGCTAGGTGGCATAGAGACTGGGTCAATTACAGAAATATTTGGAGAGTTTAGAACAGGTAAAACACAGCTGACCCACACATTGGCAGTTACCTGTCAGGTAAGGATGTTTTAAGACAAATTATGTGGTGTATAAGCCTGAAATTTTTATGAATAAATGCCTGTATGAAATCAGTCATATTGAGAGCCATTTTACATTTGTTTTTTTGCTTTTTTCAATGATCTTCAGAGTTGTTTTTTTTGCTAGTGATTTTGAACATCAGAGAATTTTTTGAATACTGAAGAGTTTAGTATATAGGTGTAATTTCCTATTTTTATACGCCCATTTACGGGACGTATTATGGTATACCGTTGTCCGTCTGTCTGTCCGTCAACACTTCAGACAATAACTCAAAAAAGCTTTCATCATTTTTCATGAAACTTTGGTGAATTGTTTATATCTATTGAGGTAAGCTCCCTTTCAGTTTTTATAAATTTTAGATTTTATGTTTCCGAGATATGGAATATTATTCACAAAAAATGGGTGATTTTCCAGTTTTCTGACTATAACTTAAAAAATGCTCTGAACAATTTTCATGAAACTTTAGTGAATTGTTTATATCTATTGACGTAAGCTCCCTTTCAATTTTGATAAATTTTAGATTTTGCGTTTCCGAGTTATTGGATTTTATTCATTAAAAAATTGGTGATTTTCCAGTTTTCTGACTTTAACCTCGAAAATGCTTTGAACAATTTTCATGAAACTTTGGTGAATTGTTTATAAATATATATATATATATATTGACATACGTTTCCTTTTGACTTTAAAACATTTCTGAATTATTGTTTTGGAGTATTGGGACTTTATTCATAAAAAAGGGTTAGATTTTCCAGTTTTGGGACAATGCCTTGAAACTTTGATGGCTTGTTTATATCTATTGAAATAAGTTCCATTTTGTTTTTTAAATTTCTGACATGACATTGCAGAGTTAGGGAACTTTATTTGTTGAAAAATTGTGGAAACTCGATTTTTCCACTTTAGATGGTTATATAATTTTATTCTTTCAAAAATGGAGGCCACAAACCTAGTTAAACTTGAGGTAGCCTTTATAGTGCCAAATTAATCATGTTTTGTGTCAATGGTTACCACTGCAACAGATGTATCATGCGCTCATGGCAAAGTTCTTTATTGTCTGGGATTACTATCCTGCGGCAGCAGTGGTGTAAACTATTTGTATAAAGCTATATATTTCAGAAGGTAGAAGACTTGGATGCTTCATACCTTGTATGCAGATACTTTATGTTACAAAATTTCTGTCTGTCAGGTATCCATTGTCCTTGACCTCATTTTGATGGTTCAGTGGGGCCTCAGTGGCCGAGTGGTCTTAAGTTGTTGAGCTACTGCATCACTAGCCTGTCAACACTCAGAGTTCGAATCCCACACGTGGCAGGATTGTCAGTTTTCCTACCGAAGGTCGAGGTTCTCTCCGAACACTCTGGCTTCTTCCACCAATAAACACTGACCGCCACGAAATAGCACAATAGTGTTGAAAGTGGTTAATCATCAATCATTCAATCATGGTTCAGCAACTGCTTGAAAAAAGATTATATTCTTTTTGTCATTTGAATTTCTAACTTATTTTGAGTATTACTAATAGGATAACTATATTTGGTATATGGGTTCTTTGCAATGTCTAGGGTTCATCTGACCTCAACCTCATTTCATGGATCAGTGATCAAGGTTAAAGTTATTTGATTAGGTCCGTTTCTCAGATACTATAAGCAGTAGGTCAATGATATGTTGTGTATGAAATGATTGTAAGTGGTACATGTCAGTCTGGTAGGTTTCATCTGACCTTTACCTCGTTTTCATGGTTCATTGATCAATGTTAAGTTTTTGTGTTTTGGTCGGTTTTTCAAGTACAATAAGCAATAGGTCAACAATATTTGGTGTATGGAATGATTGTAAGATGTACATGTACATGTCTGACAGGATTTATCTGACTTTGACCTCATTGTCATGGATCTTTTAAAATGTTAAGTTTATGAGAATGAGATACTTGTAGTAAAACCTTTAAATTTAAGACTTTTAACATAAATCAATGGTCAGTAAAGAAGGCGACACATTTCAGCGTGTGCACTCTTGTTAAAATATGATAAGCTTTATTTTAAGATGATAATTAGAGAAGTTTATTAAGAAATTTTCTATTGTTGTTTGAATCTCATTCTCTATATATGTATATCAGATATTTGAGTTCTATTTACAATTGATATGCATCTAATGAATATGAAATACAATATTTGAAATATTTCTTACACAATACCAATTATATATAATTGCTTAGGCCAGGAAGGCTTTTTTTGAAAAGCTAAAATTGTTATATGTGCTTCATTTTCATTGCAGCTTCCTATTGATATGGGTGGAGGTGAAGGAAAAGCCTTGTACATAGACTCTGAGGGAACTTTTAGACCAGAAAGATTGTTAGCTGTTGCTGAAAGGTAAAGTGTTAACCTCTAAAGGTAAAAAGCTTCTTTTTATGCTTCACCTACAATAGTTGTGGGAATTATGCTATCTGATCTTCCTATCTAATAGTTTCCATTTCAGGTTGAAGTTTTGGGTTATGTTTGTTTCTGTGAACTTGTGTTTACATGAAATTAAAACGTTATCATGAGAATTTTTTTGAAATATGTGCTAAATTAGAGTTTTGACCAAGATTTCACATCTTACTGAACATGGAAATGTGATAGTTTAAGTGAAATATGGTGTCCTGTAAACACATATTCTTATTTTGTCGTTTATTTTCTGCTTTTAGAAGGAAATGATTAAAACATTTATACCAGCAACCCTGGTAACATGATTTTTTAATGCCTTGTAAAGAATTTATCAGATTTCTTCTTCTCATGGATTTTTAGATACATTGTAAGGCCCTTGAATGGATTTACACTTTTTATGCCCTCGCCAGCACCAGAGGGGGCATTAAGTGTTACCCTTGCCTGTATGTACGTACGTCCCGAAATTGGTTTCCATTCTCTAATTTTAGATTGCCTCAACCAAATGTTATTAAACTTATACTGCCTCAACCAAATGCTATTAAACTTATACACATTGCTTCTTTTTATACATAACTTAGCAGGAAAAGTCCTGTGTGTGATAAATTGGTTATACAGTTCACCACTGACCCCCTAGAGACCCATAGAGGGCGAGTAAAATCCACAGGAGATTGGGCCTTTGTCTTCATCCCCTAGGGATTTTACTAACCCTCTATGGATCTGTATGGGGTCAGTAGCAAACCATATAACTTATAATCAGGTTTTTCTTTGCACTTGCTTTCAAATAATCCAAACAATTAGATTAAGTTAGTTGGATATTTATAATTATCAACTTGGCAAAAACAAAGTGTTAGATTTGGCTGCATTTTTTTCTGTCCCTGCTACTGTATTGTATGTCCTTAAATGGATGCTGTTGCATATTTAGTAAATAGATATTTTAAACAAGAAATAAAATAAGATAAATATTGTACTTATAGGTATGGTTTATCTGGAAGTGATGTTTTAGACAATGTAGCTTATGCCAGAGCCTACAACAGTGATCATCAAACCCAGCTGTTGGTTCAGGCTGCTGCAATGATGTCAGAATCTAGGTAAGGTTTTTAAAAAAAAGCATGGCTACACTCAATTTTAAATACAGTGCATAAACTAAAACTTTTTTCTCTTGGCTTCCACAAGCTATGTATGATTGGTTGACAGTTTACTTTAAAATTTCCTGTGCTTACCTGAACAATTTCAATGGTTCCACTTATCTGAGGACAATATTTTTACCTGATGGACCAGTTCAATGAAAGAACAAAATGGTGTACTTAACAACTGTTACAGTGCCTATTATTGTCCAATAGACTGTCATATTTCATTTCAATTTTGATCATGCTACAGTTGTGCTTTAAAGAAGGCAAATTTAATGTTTTATCAACAAATTGCAGGTAACAGTTTTAAAATTTTACTTGTAGATCTTGTTCACATTCATTTGATAATTTCCAATATGTATATATAATTACAGGTATGCTTTGTTGATAGTAGACAGTGCTACCTCTCTATACAGAACAGATTATTCAGGTCGAGGAGAATTATCAGCTAGACAAATGCATTTAGCCAGATTTCTGAGAATGTTGTTGAGATTAGCTGACGAGGTAAGTGTAGTTGCTGTAGACAAAGATTTATCTACCAGTAAATTGACAGATAACATGTCTGACATTCAGTCAAACTGTATGCAAATTCATGTCTGACACAAAATTATCTGTCCGTTTAAAAAAATGTAAAAATGGAGATAATATTGAAAAAAAGCTACATGTATAACATGATTATTAGTACCCTGTAAGCTATATTAGAGAGCCTTTTGTTTTCACTTTGTAAATCTGTCCATCCACAAATATTTCTGGGCACCGTTTCACCTACAGTCTGCTTAAGAATGCAATGTAATTCTATACTGACATGCATTTTTTTGTTGGTTTTTTTTTGACAATTTATGGAATAATTGTTATAAAGTGATGGACTTAATAATTGTCAAAAAAACAGAAACTTATCAAATTGTTGTTTTTGGGAATTGTCTACTACATAATGCAATGGAAAGTATTTTAATTTTACACATTTGCTAATACCATCATCTGGAGATTTGCATATCTTTTTGACAATTTTCTGATTCAGAGTTGTGAAAATTGATCTTAAAAATCTAATTCCTCCAAAACTTATTAGCACCAATTCTACATTATGCTCTGGAATGCAATGCAAGTTTACATTATTTTTTTTACCATCATGTGGTGTTGTCATATCTTTTGTTGGTATTGATAAGGTTCAGAGTTATCAAACTTTGATCATCAAAAACTCAGAAATCATTTTTGTAATACCAGTTTTCTTACAGAATGCTTTAGATTGCAATGAAATTGTTCACAGCTGTTTATTAACATTATGTGGAGATCTCTGAGATTTGCATTTCTTGTTTGATGATTTTTAGATCGTGGCTTCACCTGAGTCAAACTGTCTCTGCTGCTCAATTTTAATTTCAATGTATTGAACAATATTAAAAGTCCCTCTTGAATTTAGAACTAACCTGTTGCAAGAAAATATAAACAATATTGAGGTATTCAAAGTAAGAGCCTGTATCTCATATCAATGGCAATCTATATACTTATAGTGCAATCATTGAAAAATTCCAGAAAGTTGGCAGGACAGTACAAAAGTTGTTTTTTCAATATCTCTTTCAGTATGGAGTAGCAGTGGTGATCACAAATCAAGTTGTAGCACAGGTTGATGGAGCAGCAGCAATGTTTGCAGCAGATCCAAAGAAGCCTATTGGAGGAAATATAATTGCTCACGCTTCAACAACCCGGTATGATTTACAGTATGACCTTATATTTAAACCCTTATTGCATTCTTTTTTTTTAAATTACCAATAGAAGAGTTTTGCTAAGGCCTCCAATAGTTAAAACTGGAATCTTATATTTTACAAGTTTTTACATGCCCAGTTGAACAGAAAAAAGCATTCTGATATTTTGTTTGCTACAGATAATACTCACTGAAAACGTGCAACAGTATATAATTAAGTTATACAAAAAACAGTATCAGTCTCATAATATGCAGGGTTCACCACAGAATGAAAATCAAGGGTGGGGGAGAAAGTTCAACAAATCAGAGATTTTGTGTTGCGTTGTTGAATCGATTCTTTGTGCATTAATTATGAATTATATGCCTTGCATGTATTTGTCATATATAGCTAATTTGGAAAGGGGGTCTCACACAGATTTTGTAGATGGTCCTATAAGTGGTCAACACACGTAGGAACATATTAAACAGGGAGAGGAAACACCTGATGTGGCTTCCCAGATTGCAGGAATATTAAAGTGAGGGATCCAAATATAATATTGCTTTTCATGTGATAATGTATGCAACATATAATTTTATTATTTTAAGGAGTTTTCTGATAAATTTTATTTAGATTGTCTTATGGAAAACCACATGGTAAAAAAAGGTAAAGACATTAATCATAAAAAAATATTTAGTCACATAATTTCAGTCATTTCAGTCAAAAATTAAGCCTAATTAGCAGTTTATAAAATCATATTTGTTATGTAAAATTTTATTAAATTAACTCCCCTCTTTTCCAATACAATAATGTAATGGAATTATATTTAATAAATAATTAGATTTCTTAATTGCAACTGACATGATAATTGGATTAGGGATATCTAAAATTTAACTTCAATCTATTGAATTTTCAAGTGTGTCGGACAATAAAATAAGCGTGGCGCTGGGAATTTTAAGGTGGCGCACCGCCACGCCAAAATAGGTTGTGGTGATTTCTGATATGTGTTGTGATCTAGTTATAAATGTATGACTTAATGATTCCAGGCTTTTTTGGCCATGGTTAAACAGAATTTAAAAAAAAACAGAACATCAAAATATTTATTTAAACTTGATGCTGTTTAGCAATTTGCATTGGTCAGGCCATAATCTTGCCGGCGAAATGACGATTTAAGTCGCCAAAGAATTTTGAAAATCGCTATATCTCGCCGGGTGAGGATATTGCGTAATCACTCAGCTGATTTGTTTTATTTTTATTTATTACGAGTCGATCAATTGTACTATTCGGTAGGTTAAGGGTGGGAATAAAAGGTAGATTTATTATATTCATTGAATAAAAATTGAAATATAAAAGGTAGAAAGACAGCTGATGGATAATGTGATTGCAAACGTACCGTACAACACTCGACCAGCTGTGATCAGCAGTGGATTTTTTTTTTCATGACCATTTCGTTGATAGGGAAGATATCTTTAAAAAAATGATCGAATTTGCTCTTTATCGGTTAATTAATATGTGATTGACAGATATTTTCATTTATAGGCTTACAATCTTTAACGAGAATCTCAATTTACAACTACATGTAACATGATGTCCTGGACATTCAATAATGTTTTACAAAATAATGACAAGTGGTGATATAAATTAAATTCCCAGTCATGTGAAATTTATCAGGTAAACTGGGAGTCATATTTTTCTGGACATTTAAAAATAAATTGAGGCAGATGCACATGAATTTAATGCATCATAATATTACTAGGCTACTCCCTCATGTCCCAAGCAACAAATTTAATTTAAACTTAAATTCAAGTTGACAGTACAAATGGTATCAATAAATAAATAACAACTATATTGTCTAAACCTTTTTATTAAGAACTTTCTATATAGACATTTTGTACAATAACATGAAAAAACTGCAAGTATATTTTTTATTATACCCCACACAACGAGTTGCGGAGGGTATAATGTTTTTGACCCGTCCGTCCGTCTGTCCGTCCGTCAGTCCGTCAGTCCTGTTTCTTGTCATCGCAATCCCTCTCAAACCACACAACAGAATTTCACGAAACCTTTTTAGATAATAAGGACATACTATGTAGTTGTGCATATCGACAGGAAATTGCGATTCAATTTTTTTCTAGGAGTTATGCCCCTTTGAACTTATTTACTTTAATGTACTACTGCAACAGTTTGTCATCGCAACTCCTCTGATACCACACAACAGAATTTCATGAAACCTTTTAGATAATAAGGACATACTATGTAAATGTGCATATCGACAGGAAATTACGGTTCAATTTTTTTTCTAGGAGTTACGCCCCTTTGAACTTATTTGCTTCAATGTACTAGCAACAGTTTGTCATCGCAACTCCTCTGATACCACACAACAGAATTTCATGAAACCTTTTTAGATAATAAGGACATACTATGTAGATGTGCATATCGACAGGAAATTATGATTCAATTTTTTTTTCTTATACAATTTTTTTTTCTTACACATATTTTATTTCTCCAATGACAATGTGAGGACGTGGGGTATGTGAGCGCGCTCACTAAGGTTCTTTAATTGCATATAAAACAATTTCCTTAGTGATAAGCACGAGAACACTATGCAACCGAAACGGTAATGGAATCTCACTTCTCCAAGAAATTGACCACTTCTCCCTTCTCTCTCATGGAAGGAGAAGTCACTTCTCCCTCTCCAAAATCCTAGATTAGGCCCTGATTGGTACATGTACAACTAATTTAAAGAAAGAGTTATTTATATGTTAAAATATTCAAGTAGCTGAAGAATCTTATGCCTGATTTTAAAAAAGTATGAAAAAGAAAATTCATCATGCTTTTTGAAAATAAGCCTTTGTTTTATTACTTTCAGATTATATTTGAGAAAAGGCAGAGGAGAAACCAGAATATGTAAAATATATGACTCGCCCTGCTTACCTGAAGGTGAAGCAATGTTTGCAATTAATCCTGATGGTGTTGGAGATGCAAAAGACTGAGATGCATAACAGGAAAAAAAAAGAAATAGTCTGTGCCAAACTAGATCACAGTGCGGAAGTGATGTAATCACTAATAACTAGTTGGAAAAGAGCTGTTTTGTAACATTAGTCAGCATGACAAGATTGAATGTAATTTTTTCATGCCATGAGATGTGTTGATCAAATCAGTAAAATTATTTAGTGAGATGTACGAAAATATTGTCATGTTTACTTAAATGAACTGTTATACATAAGACATTGTTTTCATTAGAGACTGTGAATTTTTCTTTTGTAATCGTTCCCAACTATTGTGAGTAAGGATAATGTGTATTGCTGTTGATTGTGCCATATATCTGAAATGTTTTTTTCCTCCGTTTATCCAAAAAAATGTCTGGGTGTATTTAGTAACCATAATGTTACAAGAGTTGTATACACGGTATAAAACATTCTATTTGTCCAGGATTTATGGGTTCCATTTTACCTCTTTGCAGGTCAAGATTTTGAAGACTATGTATATATTTCAATTGCTTGAAAAATCTAAATGAACAGAAACATAAATTAGATAGAAAACTCATTTAGATATGTTAAAATATAAACATTTAAATTGCTTTACTGTGAAAAATTTATAACATGTTCTTATATACACAAAAATATATAATTGTTTTAAATAAACGTGAAAAGAACGAAAATCATCTTCCCTCTTATTTTATTTACTACAAACTAGATAGTTATTAGCAAATTTCTCCATTGCTAACACAAATAATGTTCTGATTTATTATTTGGTTTCTAGCTTATTAATGTGCTTCTCCATTTCCTCTTATTAATTATAATCATATTTCATTACTCTCTGATTTTCAAAGCTTAGCTGTATTTTTAATTTGATATAATAAAATGGTATCACTTGCTGCAAAGGTAGACAATCTGCTACTGATATAGTTAAAGTTCTATTACAAACAATGTTCAAAATTAGATTCTTTGTCTTCTAGTCTAAATTGTATTATTAAGATTTGAAAAATATTATGCAAGATGCAATATTGTTATAAAATACTGGAAAGTATAGAAAAGGTATCATTTTTGCTGTTCTTCATCTTTGACAGATACCTGAATATTTTCATGGGAAATAAGTTATCACATCTTACAGCAGCAGGATAAAGAAGGGTTTTGAACACCACTACATATGTGTAATTGAAAATGCATTTTCATCCGTAATAAGTTATTTATATAAGAATACTAATACTACCATTCTTAAAATTCTGTCATCATGGTCATTAGTTAGTCCAAGAAAAGACAATATCATTACACTTATTGCAAATACACAGACTAACAAAGGGCACAGTATATCATAATGATTACAGGAAAACTTGACGTGGAAATTATTGGACACAGCAACTGAAAGGTTCGTTCTATTTTAAAGCCACATTTTATCTGAAATGAAGTCAGATGAGGTACTTTGATCATGAGAAATTCACTCTGAAATAAACGTCCAACTTTTAAAAAATTCACCTTAGACATTGGGATGTATTCTAAATTTCTACACCTTAAAAGACAAAATATATTCATCTTTTGCAGAAGAAGAGTATTTGATTGATGGACATGAGGCAACAGTCTGAAAAAATATGTTGTTTTTCAAATCTGAATTTTTTTCTTTTAAATATTAATAAATATTGTATATATGATGTCCTGAAACAAACCTTCACATAGCTTTAAGGAAGTAATTTTCTAGGTAAAAAATCTAGAAATACAGTTGCTTCATTGCCTTAAGGGCATGCGATACAGTTACAGGGGAGATAATGACGTTGCTAACGTAAAATGTTATTTTTCGCGACGTCAAACTGCAACATATCGGGGGAAAAGACTCATTTTTCAAAGGATTTTAATCATTAGCTTGAAAATGAGTGCATGGACTCCTCTTTTTTAAAATGACATTTGACTTGATACGGTATGAAGATTGTTCCAAGTTTTATGAAGAAATCAATGATGATTTTATTTTAGATTAGATAAATATACAGCAAAAAAATGCTGTTTTTTTTCTAAAATTGTGAAAATTTAATAAAAATGAATAATTTACAAAGAATTGTTACACAAATTAAGAGCCTAATTTTGTAACGAAGATATTCCAAATCTTTTTACAAAAATCCTCATGTATTTGTCTTTTGAAACAAAAAAGTTAAGTATGTCTGTCCAAAGGATAGAAATGTCCAAGAAACCAAAATTTTAAGTAAATGTCCAAAATTTCTACCCCATTTACCTCTAAATTTAGCACTTGAAGGTATGGAGAGTTGTCTCATTGGCACTCATACCACATCTTCTTATATCTATATTTTTTATTACATATTTGAATTTTCAAGGTAAAAAATTGCTTGTATGCAAATTTTTGTAAAAAAATCACCGTTGGATCAAAATTGTATAGTATGCCCTGAAAGGAGGCTAGTATGTCAATTTAGTCCTCACTTGGAGCTTCCAGACTAAGTTAAGTTTTGAAGACACATATAAAAATAAGGAGATGTGGTATGATTGGCAATGCTTTCTTGCAACTGATCCTTTATACTGTATCCATTTCTAAGCAGTTTCTAGGTCATACCAAGACACAAGTTTTAACAGTTTAAAGCCAATTTAGAGTATTATCTTGATTTTGAAAATTTCTATTTTTTTATTCCTGAGATATTGGACTTTAACCAAGAATATTACAGTAATTTTTCAGGTCATGCCCTAGCTAAATATACAAATTACTTCAAACTTTTCACTGTTTTGGGGTTTTGTGCATACAATTTGTCATTTTGGCTTCTGATTAAAAAATCTTTTGAATACTTTTTTTTGCTCTTGTAATATTTTCAATATGAGAAAGAAAGGTGTATGATGCGATCCTGATGCAACTGTTCATTCTAGTTCAGGTAGTCCTAATTCAAACATCTAATTGGAAGGAATGTTATATAACAGTTTCTCTTATTTACACACACACACAAACATTAACTGATATCTAGTTCAGGTAGTCCTAATTCAAACATCTAATTGGACGGAATGTTATATAACAGTTTCTCTAATTCTTCGTCAATTTATCCCTTTCTGCACCCATTGTATAAAAAAATTTAATCAATGTGTGGTTCGTTTGATCTCAGTTCTTCATTGGTTAAAATCCGATTATGACGTCGAATTTTCTTGCTTTCCTCTGAATTTCCTATTGTGACGGCATGAAAAAAGGCGACCATGCCTGATGACGTCACATAGAAAGAACACATCTTTTTGCAGATCATTTGAAAAGAAGGAATACATTTGCCTGCGTATTGTTTGAAAATCATTAGAGAAACAGATTCCACCACCAAATCTCGTGTAATACGATATTTATCCACTCTCGACAGTTAAATTTTAAATATTTAAAACGCTCGGCGAGCCTCGCGTTTTAAATTTCAAAATTTAACTGTCTCGAGTGGATAAATATCGTATCACACTCGATGCAGTGGTAGAATCTATATTTCTCTTATTTACACGCACACAAACATTACTTGATATCAAGTATACTAGTATAAAAAAAAGATTCATGTCTTTTATTTGATTTTCAATCTTTAAGTAAGTAAGTCTAATTTGAAGGAGGGGTGATACTTCCAAGAATCCCTAAGTGTATTTCTATATTCCTTGAAAATAAACTAGAACAGTATATAGTCTCTGCTTTGTCTGTCTATCCATCCAACACAAATGGTTTCCATTATGCATCTTTACATTGTGTATTACATGTATTTACCATAAAACACAGGATACGTTTGGTGTCACTCTGATACCAATTAGTTATATTTGAAAGAGTTGTATGATGTACACCACATTAAAGAAGGTTATATCATATGATTGAAATGAGTGAAAGTTGTGCTAGAATAAACTGATTGTCATGTTCAAGAGCATAGCTATTTATATGATGACATTCAATATTACCATTTTGTATTCTGGTTGGGGTGGAGAAAGATTTGTTTTATTACAATTTTTAGTAGATTATATGGTTACAATTTGTCGCTTATGCATTAGTAATTGTCGATGTTTTATAGATGACAGGCCAAAGATGATCAGACGGGAATCTATTACAAATTTGGAAAATGCTTTGTTTTTAATACCCCAAGATCGCTCCGGATACTGAAATAATTTTCATTTAACGTATAGAACTTCAGTTGTCATGACCCAATGCTAGGGTCTTAGGATGACAGTAAAAAAGTTTATAGTCAGAATATGAATGGTTCCATCTGATACTAATGAATGTGAAATGAGCTGCTGGTCGTTCGTTTTTCAGTATCAAATATCCAACTGGTCGCTTTAACTTCTAGTTCGACATTCGGATTTTCTTCTCAAAATTAAAACAATTTTGGCTTTTAATAGGATTTAAAAATTGATAACAGCATCAAAAACAATTAGTACAAATAAAGAGATGCAAGTTATGATATTGTGAACCCTACAGATAATAGTACGTTCTCGTTGTCCTCAAATATAAACTCTTTATTTAATAGTGTACGTATCGTTATCAACAAAATAAATCTAAAGTAATACACGAGCAATCACCCAAGGAATGTATTATGAGCATGATCTTTCGCTCTCGAACCTATTTTTCAACTATAATAAAAAAGAAATGTAATAAATTACAGGATCAAGATTTCTTCTTGCAAATCAATGTTGATTTTATGTTTTTTTTTTTAAAGTTTGAATAAAAACGCACTTTTTCACTTCTCTTCTGAAAACATTTTTTCTTTAAGAAATGAAGAATCAAACGTTTTGTTAAAGTATGTCTCCCCAAAAGAAGAAAGATGAATTGTTGATGCCTTATTTATCAATAATCTATCATTATGTTGATCATAATATCCAATAGATAACCTTTTGTTTTTATGTGTACGGATGGCTCTAAGAGCTAGTTTGGTATTCAAAATGTATTTCTCAAGACTATTAGAGACCACAAAAGTTGAGGGACTTGAGAAGTTGACACCAAACACTTCATAATCTTCCAGCAGTTCCATTAACACTTGGTCAATGGTAGGCCAGGCATAGATCCTATCATAAATATTCCCCACCATTGTTTTCATATTTGGTGTCAACGCGCCAGTTTGAATTCAAAATTAGGAGTGAAAAAAAGGGCATAGGACATCATAATATTTGTGGGTAGGGCTTCTTGATCTTTTAGCGTATCCAGTAGCATCACTGACCAAATGATTTTGCAAGAATAAATACACATGGCAATTACATAATGTACAATGCATGATAGAGTTCATAAGCAGAAAAATAAAGTAAAACACAAGGGAGAGTCCAGATGACAGATATACGTATTGCACAAGATCAGAATTTTCTTGAATGAAAACTGGAAAGTACAGCCGTTATTATTACAGTGTTAGAAGGTTAACAGAGTAATTAAGTACATTGATTGATTGACTGTCTGTTATTTGCTTACCGTACAGTGTCAATTATTTCACACATATCCAGAACAAATAAGAAAATTGAATTTGCTATAGTAACTTTGAACATTATTGTCTCGCCTTGACGGAGTCAAAAAGCGAGACATAGGTATGCTGTTTCCGGCGTCGGCGTCAACAATGTAGTTTGTGATTAGGTCTAATTCATGGTGAACCACTGGTGGTAGGTCAATGATATTTGGTATGCAGTTGTATTAGCATTGGCACATCTCATTACCATGGAGATTATTTGGCCCCGCCCCCTCAGTCAAGGT